GTGAAGACTCTGCTCTAAGTCTTGCTTAGCCAGAAAAACCTCCTGAGTGATCAGAACATTGGGGAACCTAAACCAAACGATGAAGGCCGTGCGACAGACCTCCTTGCTCCTTATTCTGACTAAAATTCTTCAGTATGGTCCCCACTTTCTTTACTTAAAACAAGGCCTCCTAGCTCTCCCAAGACGTGCCTTCCCCAGTGTGAGCTGCCAAAGACCTGCCAGCTAACCTGTTCTTCAGGGGAGCTTGTAGTAACTTCACAAAGGCGTACTGAACATTACACAGATGAAGAATGAGGTAAATCAAACAGGGCAACAGGGGAGAAAAAAGCCATCTGTCATCTTGCTGAGTGAAAGGCCTTCTGGGAAGGGCCAGCGCTCTTATAGCCAGCCGCTGCTGAGCCCCTATATAGCCCTTGCAAGTCACCCTCAGGCGTGCCAAGAAGAGGAGAGGATACCTGCAAGATCTCAGCAGAAGCGAGGTGCAGGGAGGACAGGCCAGTGAGCTCCAATTTAAACAAATGGCCCAGGTTGCTATGGAAACCTCAAGGATGGAAAAGCAGCACTTTGAAAACAAAACATAGCGAGGCAGATTTCATATCCACTCTGAAAAGGTTTATGACCAGAAAAGGCAAAGTGGGTGTTAAATGCTTTTTAGCTAAGTCAATAGTAGCAGCACTTGAGGAGGAGGCATTATGGATTCGCAGCACCCATCATACATAACTCTGCTATCCCAAACCCCAGGAGAACAGTCTTCTGTACTTTGCCAATACTATCGTATAAAAATTCTGGTCTCTTAACCCCTTCCTGGCACCCCAACTCCTTCTACATTACCACTGTAGCTATAAATTACTATATGTAGCTATACTAAGCCCATCAGTCATGACAAGTGGAAAATATACAGCTAGAATTAATCTGACACAAGAGGAATAAAATTATCTACAGCTTTAAAGCTAATCAAAACTGAAAATCCTAAAGAGGGTTGTTTTTTTTTTTTTTCCCCCTAAAAGAAAAAAAAAAAAAAAAAGAAATACAGCAGAGAAATAATGGAACTTTGCTATTGATTTTAAATGGCATGTACTCAGACCAACCTGGTGTAGCCCAGCAGCGTAGCATTCAATCAGATATACTCTAACCTCATGAAGAGTTTGTGCTCGAATATTCAAGTATTCTGCGATAAAATTATTATTGCAAGTAGCATGGAGACAGAGCGATTCCTGACACCAGTATGGTTAATTAATAATTTTATCATTTATATAGGTGTTAAATAAATGAATGGTTCTTGATAGAACCAGCTGCCCTTTTTCAGAACAGCTCCATCCTGCACGTTCCCGTGGGGTGGCAGGCCACTATCCAACCTTACCACTGACAGCTTCCATCCATCTGCCCCTTATCATCAAGCCTGAGGGCCACTAGATTTCAGAAAAGGTGATGGCTATTGTGGAAAAGGGAATCTTAACTGGGGTAGCCAGAAGACTCAATCTGCTTGAAAGCCGCAGACAATGAAGAGTTTTACGGAATGCAGTTTTTCAGCTTTCCTTAGAAGAGACACGCATTGCTGAAAAATAGCATTTCTGAATGAAGAAACAGGAAAAAAGTAAACCCACAGTTTATATCTTCTACATAAAAAAATATCATCACACCTGCAGCAGGGAGCATATGAGAGGTAACTAGAGATAAATATGAAAAAATGACAATGGGAGTGAGACGGAGAAAGGAAAAGGCTGCAAGAAGCAGTTTGGGAGACACAGGAAGAATACAGGGAATATAAAAAATAAAATTCAAAAGTGCTCTGTAGGCAAAGCAGCTCTTGGCGTCTGCTCTACCACCTCCTGTGGACAGACTACTCCATGCTTAGATTGGTGATAACGGCAAAACCAAACCCCCCAGACAACCCCCATCCACCCCAAATCCTTTGGGTATGTATAAACCTTTGTTTTCAGATAAACAGTATATTTTACTTTAAATTAATGTAATGAATTCTGAGTTTAAACCTTTTTTCAGAAAGCTGAGGGCTGGGAATATTGTACTGTCAAAAAAGCCCTGGGAAGGAAGAAAGTCTTGTAACTGAAAAAGAAATCTTTTGGGTAGCATTTTTAGAAATATTGTTTTCAAATACATATAACTAGGGGAAAGGTTCCTCCAGCTATCTTTAACTTAAAGAATGGAACCTAACTATATATTTACCATTCTAAATACATTACCCTCTGCAGAATTGACTCCAACAGCAGAAACAGCTGAATATCAGCACTAAAAAATTTTCAAGTTGCCCTGGTCTCTAGTGAAAAATCTTAGGGTTCCACCAGAACACCACCAGGCTCAAGACTTCTTAAATCTCACTTTTGTGCACATCCATCTTGAGAACTGTAAGAGTGCTTGGAACATTCGGAACAATTTTCTACCTACAGGAAAAATGTCCCTGCAGAGAGCTCTCCTGAGGAGATGTGGGCTGGAATCTCCTCTGCTCTAAGCCATTTCCTGCTGTCCCAGCAGGCAGGAGGTTGCAATCCACTGCCACCTGACTAGGTGACTTTTTTGGGAGAAGGTGGGGGGAGGAAGGAAGGACCCACAAGTTCCCAGCTGACAAAGAAACTTGACCTCTACGCCAACTGCTCCCCTTGCAGCCAGGGCACTCAGGACAGGGGGAGGAACGATGCCATGTGCCTTCTCTCCACTGTCCACCAGATTTGGATATAAGCAGCAGCACAGTCGACACACGAGAGCGAGCAGAACATAGTAGACACCAGCAACAAAAGGGTATCAGCCCAAGACAGCTCTGTGGGATACAGCATTTCTCTTATAAATAATTTTATTGTTGGTGAGGAAATCTTGCTCTTCTCCCAGATCAAAGGAAGTAAAGAAACTAAAACACAATTTGCTAACATTACAAATTGAAACTGCAAAAGTAAGTGAGAAACTGTTCTTCTGCAACAGTATCAGTCTCCAGGGCCCTACCATGTGTCATAGCTTCATTGAATTCAAATGAGTTGCAGTTTCCATAGCCTTGAGGTTTGGGGGTTTAAAGTTTCCCTCTAGTCCCCATCTCCTACTCTCTCTTGCAGCATGACTGCTCTTAACACAGTGTAAATAAATGTAACTCATATAAACTGATAAAGGCTAACATGTTGCCTTGTCAGAATACCCGGAGAAATTAGCACTGCCCCTTGGTTAAGGAAAACCACTGTCAGGACTGCCAAACCTGGGCACGCATAGAGGGATGTGCACAAAGCTCCAGTTACCCAAGGAAAGTCAATGTGAAAGTAAGTGTCTGCCTCCTTCAACCCCAATTCTCAGGAGATACATCACAGAGCCCAGATCTTAGATTCAAACGCAAGGAATTAACATTAAATATACTCAAAACCCGTATTTCTATACAAACTGGAACAAAAGTGAAGACATTATTAGATAACAAAGTAAGTTTTCTAATAACATTCATTCCTTTTAGAAGAATAAACTATTTCAAAAGCTGTATGGTGCTTTAGGTAGAGAAGCTGCTTCTAGAGTTGTCTGATACACAAAGAAAATTATTCTGCCCAATTTCAGAGCACAGGGATTGAAATGGCTGAACAGTCTGTCCTTTAGGTCATCAATAACATTAAAACATAGCCATAATTGAGTATTAATAACTGGACTGCTCTCATCAAATAGGAATTTTAAACTACAGCAAATGCTGGCTAAGAAAAGAGATACATTTTCTAAACACCAACTTATTCTTGCATTGAAGAGGGACACTAGCTTGCTTAACAACGTTAACGTGTTACAAGGCGTATTTACCCATGCTTAGATCTTACTTCAGGCAGAAAGTGAAGACATACCAAACCTATGTTTTCATCCAGTACGCTGGATGCCATTTAGCTGCAGTGAGAACTTAATCCCATAGGCAGCATACCTGACTTCACCACCAGACAGCAGTCATCAGCTCACTGGCTCCTACTGACAGGCGAGACGTACCTAGGGCAGGCAAACTTGAAGAATTCAGCAAGTCAACCTAGAATCAGGTCTGAGCTGCTGACTGCTTCTCTGTAACAGCAGAGATTCAAGAGATAACCCTCCAAGTAATATTATTTAATGCAACATGCATTGACCTAGGAGCAGTAGCACCAGAGTGAGCGCTGCACCCGGTGCTACTACACTCTATCTAATGTAGCTTTGCAACTGACTTACATTGTGATTATAATAATTTGGGTCCAAATCTTTGGACCAATTCTTCTGGGTATCAAATCTGGCAGCACAAGCCTGATTTTTAGAGATGCTGACACTTCCTGTCCCACCTGAAATCACTGGAAGCCACAACTTAGTTGTGCTAAAAAGAAACGCAAAAAAGAAACTAAGAATTTATTAGCAAATTCTGAAAGCAATGTTTTTCATCTCTTTGTGTCTATTTTCCTGCCTGTGACAGAGGTAATAGTTTTAAGCAAGCAGGGATGGAGGACTCTTAATACTCAAGCAATGGGCAGCTTCGAGCTGGCTGATGAGGCTCGTGGCTAAGGTGTCTCTGTTGCTTGCCTTTGCCTGTCTTGTCTACATGGATAAACAGCTAGGATAAAGGCTGACCACAGAGTGCACAGGAGAAGGGAGCCTTGACCCTCTGTTCTACTACACACTAGTCTAATTCAAGTAGTTATATAAATAATGAAACCGATTTCTTCATTGGAAAAGACTTTGCTACCTACAAATAAAAAGTAACGCACTACCCCTTGGTGAAGAGAGTAATACTCAGAGATCACTACGAAGTGCAGCTTTCTTGTTTCTGTACACACAGCACACATACAGCTGGCTTTACATAAAAGAATCCTGTCTTGTCATTACTTAGAACATAGATCACTACTTGGGGGAAAAGGGGAGACAAGAGAACGTGCAAAAATAATCGCTCACTGAATCTTTCTGCTCCAGTCGGTACCTCTCAGATCTTTCATGTGCTTTGTGTTTCTAAGAATGATCATTGTTTTTTCACCAACTTAAAGCCTGTGATTTAGTATCATCTAATAGCATACCATTTCTGAAAACAAAAGAGCACTGTCCACATAACAAAGGCAGCTTCTGATTGTCAAAGAACTTCATAGCATCGATTCTTTTCCCCATCAGATATTTCACAGAACTCCGTTCCTGTAAGGCCTCCTTTAAATCTGCAGCAATCTGAAGCTCTCGATCTGCTGTGGGTTTATATCCAACAATGCTCAAAGTGCCTGTTCATTTCCAAACTCCATCAGGTTCTGGATAAATGATCCTAAAGGTCAAGTTTATCCGTGCATCTCTAGAATGATATTCCTTAGGCACTCGATGCTGTAAATGGCATTAGGGAAAGGAGGAAAAAAAAAAAAAAAAAAAAAAAAAAAAGGCATGAGCTTGTCTATTGAAAATACAGGTAATCAAACAATGTAAAAAAATCTAATTTCCTGTGATGGCTTTTTATTAACAATTCTAAACATTTAGGTAGAAATGTTCTGACTGCTCAGGGCCACTGAAAACCAAAGGTCTTTGTAGATTGCTGCAGACTTGTTAAATTAAGTTGCAACTTTTTTATATTCTAAGTTCCTAAATTGATTTTGCTCTTTCAGCTGCAGGCTGCAACCTTCCTTGCTGAACTTTAATGCTGCAACATCTGAGCCAGTTCCTATCACATCACTTAGCAGTTGAAAGGAAACCCATTGTTTCTGTGGGTACTTTGAAATTCTGAGGCAGAAAGCAATATTAATTGGGATTTCCCAATGCTGGGAAACAGTTGTGTCACTGTCCAATACCTTTATGGGAGTGCCACACACATATTTAGAAACTGAATTGCAAGTAAAGCACACAAATGGTGTCGAGGAGTTCTTACCTGCCAATCCTCCTGGGTAGCTCCTTCCATCATCAGCAGAGTCCCATGATCAAGTGGGATTCTTAGTCTTTCTACGTAAGTATAGTCTCCATTCTCTTCCTAAAAAGACACATTAGCCACTGAAGAAGCAGGCATGTGTATTTGGTAAAAAGCCAGTCCTCTACAGCAGAGCTTAAAAAGCTGGGAGGGGAGAGGAGGAAAGGAAGCTCTCAGAAGATCAAGAAGTCTAACTAAACCTCTCCGTTACCATATTTCATAAAGAGTTCACAAGCCGAGCATTTTAAGGATGAAAGAAGCCATTGCGTCTCACTGTACAACACAGGTAAAGTTCAACAACCAGTTCCTACATCTAGTGCAAAATTCTGGAGCTGGGCTGCGAACCTTTTGGAAACATCCACTCTTGAGATAAACAGTTCTGTGTGGAGACATTCTGCAATAGTCGCCCTGATCCCAACGGCTAACTACTTCATCAAAAACACACATCTTCCTTCTATTCTGAATTTGTCTTGTTTTGGACATTACATATTGGTATAGTATTATCTGCTAGATGAATAATTTTTCCTATCCCTCAAAAATCTCCTTTTCCTACAGTACCTTGTAAAACAAGTTGTCTTAAACTTTATCATCATTAAGCAGAACACACTGCTGAACTAGAACACTTGCAAACTCTTGTTAAGCCTTCAGAGTATGTACAACTTTTTCAAAGCACAAATACAATAACCAGACATAATAACACTGCAGTATTAGTCTCACACATGCCACATCAGTGGGAACAGCAACTCTCTATTGCTTTGCACTATCCCTTCCCATTTGAAATCAGACTAATACACTGCTAAGTCACATTGCTCAGGGAAGTCTATTATGCCAGCACCGTTCTCTTTGTTAATCACGACCGTAACCTCCTCATGAAATCATACCATGCCTGACATAAACTATCTTCCAGAATGCCACATGGGCAGGTATTATAATGCTCTATGTACTTCTTTAATATTTTCTGATTTTAGCCTTCAACAACAGCTACAGAAAAAAACTCCTGCAAACCTTGAACAACTTCCATGCAACGTCTTGCCTACTTAGTGCTGGCACTTTGATTATTTCATTAATACTGAAACGTGAACAGGAAAACCAGGATTTCCCTCAAATATGAACGGCAGTATATATTTTGCCTTTTATAGATCTCCACTGCCAACTTTGCAAGCTGTCTAGGAAGAGTGAAAAGCAACTGAAATGAGGAATTCAGGGAAGTTTCAGATAGGAAATCACCTGCAAAATACAGGGTTTTTTTCAGAGAGAGGGTGAGTTAGAGAAATATTTTAATTAGTGTTGAAAGGGAGGGGACTCAAGAAGTCTTTTATTTTTAAGTTACAGAAAGCCATAGATAACTTGGAAGTGTAAAGTGGATAATAAATGTCCTCCACTGAAAAAAGAGTATGACAGGTTCTCAGTCTCTACATTGTGTGCAAGTACAGGGTTAACCTTGTTCTGAGTATACTGCATATAGCAAACAGATAGCCTGAATGCGTATTTGTTATTGTACAAATTGTGCCTCTAGAAGCAGAGATACTGGGCTTTTTCCAAAGAGATCACCAAATCAGTTATTTGCTCTTGAAAGAAAAGCCAGAAATACACAATTACTACAAAGAGATGAGAAAAAAATAATTAGGCCAGGTCTGAGCTTCTAAAGCATGACGGTGTCCCTGTAAGGGACCATATAGCTTAGACAGTTCCTGAGCAAATGCTTCAGATTAATTAGTTAGGCAGTATCTTGTCTTCCAGTTTCTTATAATGGTTGGTGGAGTCCTAAAAATCACACTTGCTGACTGTTTAGGCAGAGGCAATGCTCAATTATTTCTGGCCCAGCTGAAGGCAGCAATTACTCCAGACTCAACAAATCCTGTTGCCACCAGAGTGGTATTTGTCACATTTGTCATGTAAAATGAAACTGTACTTTGGAAGGGGGAAAAAACCCAAAAAGATATGAGAGGTCACAACTTATGTCACTTGTAACAGAAGCAGATCGCAAAGAAGCTGGAAACAGCACAGGACAACTGAGACTTGGAAAATGGAATTACCACAGTAAGATTTAACCCAGCTTGAGGCGCAGGTATAGTTACCTCACACTGACAAAAGTTTCACCTTTCTGAAACAGAAACAAACATGACAAGACCTCCAGGCTTCTGCTGTATGTTGAAGTTTCCCGTATTCAGGAAAACTGGCAGGGGTCTGCACAGACTTGACAGTCAGAAGAAAATATTAACAGGTCATAAAAAGGCAGACATAGTCTTTTGGGATCCATTAAAAAAACCCAACAGTTCTCATCCAACACATTTTACTGCTTTTACAAAAACTCACATTTTCAAAAATCTTAACTAACTTCCTTGAAGCTTAATTCTGCAGTGGCCCAACTTGATGCACGTTTGTCTCTTTAAAGTTCTCGGCCTGCTGAAAAGCTCAAAATAACGAGGTGAAGTCTCAACTACTGGGAAAATTATGTCTTGGACTTAAAACACAGTCTGATTTTCAAAAGAACAACGGAGGGGAGAGGGGCGGTATAAAAAAAGATGCAGACAGAAAGAAGACTGAAAATCCTCTGAAATGCTTGGTTGGGATCAAATCAACTCCCAGTAATAAAAAGCATCACTTGATATAATTGGCTATGTATTTGCACCTTTGCCACTTTCTGTTCATGTCTGGGACTAGAAGTTGGAGTGTGACAGAACAAGGCTATTTAATACTGGCAGCACTGGCTGGCAATTCTGGATTTGTGCGTTTCTTGGGGATCCCTAAGGGCCTGAGGCTATGCCAGTGATTAAGCTCACTAAACCTCTGGAATCAGGGAGTGCTGAAGGCACTCAGAGTCACCTATAATACGTATTCTTTGTAAGGAAAATGCAAAACATATTTTTAAGCTTCTAGAACTATTAGCCATTTATCTTGCTCTATTAAAAGTAAGGTGTAACGTCAAAAATGTTTTCTTAAACTTCAGAGGAAACACGGAAAAAATTTCAAAAATAGGTATTATAAATATGACTGCTGATGAAAAGCAGAGAAATACCATTGCATGGCTGTTTTCTATTTCACAGGATTACATCATTTTCACTTTGTGGATGGACAACAGTGGACTTATTTTTATCTCTTGCTCATCATGATTAAAAAGGAATTCTTCTAAGATAAATGATTCAGAAGAAAACATCCTTTTGGCTTAGAAAAGTCAGTATGTAAAAGGAGCAGTTACTTTCTGTTTTAAATGGGACAGGTCTGAGCTTTGTTTTACTTAGAAAAAGAGATTTTTACGTCAATTGGTTTTGCAGAGCCGGTGAAGTTAGACACAAGTTTTACTGTCTTACATGTCATTACTAACACTGTCCACCAAATCTCATTTCAGAACTTTTCTCTCTAGAGCTGATGTTAGGTATTACAGAAAACTCAGTTGAGTTTCACAGGTCAAGAAGTTTATGAAGGAAATTTATTCTTGACATCTAAGGAGGAAAAGACTATTTTAAAATACCGATAACAAAACATGGAAAGAAATGCATCAGGTAACTTTTACATGGTGACTTCGTAACTATATTTATTACAAAACCAGCTGCTTCCAACAACAGCTCTAGTAAAGCAACTGTTCTGCATCTTAGTATATTAGAATTCTCATAATCGAGTTGCACATTTAATTCGATCCAAGCTTTATACTGTCCAAGTACATTAGCTAAAACTTTTTTTTTATCCTTATGTAGTTATTCAAGTAACTACAGTTAACAAGTGAGGAAAGTGCAGCATGAGTTGATGGGAAGCTGTGAATATAAAATCTCAATATATTCTGGGACTCCATCAAGGTTTTTTTCTTAAAATGGTATCAAAATCAAAAAGGTAAGAAAAAGAAAATATCTACATCGATCAACTAAGATTGTTTCTTAAGTGTCAGGCAAGTTTATTAAGATAGTAGTAGGAAATGGGTTCTAGATAGCGTGGAAGCATCTTCTATTATAAGGAAAAGTAAATGGAAACATCCCATAGAAGAATGTATAAATAATAATGCAGTTATACATGCAAATGATGCAAAATTATTTTCAAAGGCTAAAGTCAGCAGCCCTCATGGAGAGTGCTGGCTTCTAGTCTTCTGCTTTACCTATCACCAAGAGAATTACCCTTACAAAACTTCTAATCTTGTATTTTTGAGACTTCCATCTTGCTTGCATCCCTCTTTTCCAGTTTACTCCTCTACCACCAGCTGTGGAAACACCCTCCTCCAACAACAAAGTGGTGTCATTTATCAATACTTCTGCATCTTTACCTGTTTATTCTCACTACCTCTGATAAAATCCTCACCGCAGCTCTTTTCTTTACGGATTCAGTAAGAATGAGTATCGGTCATATTGCCCTTTCCTCACGTAATCCACTTGCCTGCCTACACAGGACTACCTTTAAACTCCCTCAGTCTTTCTGCAGCTGACCTAGCAGACTGCAAGTGAGGTAGCTCTAAAGCACTCGCGTCTTCCTCTCTGCTTGTCTATAGCTGCTCAAGTCCTGCCAATATTGGTGGACAACACCTCCTCCTCTGCAGCCACTGCTGCCTGCAAGTCTCCTTCATGCCAATCTAAAAGTTCAATCCTCCTCATCCTGATCCAAGCCTCAGTTTCTACTGTGCTCCATATATTTCCACGTTTGTCTTCAATTAGGCCTGTTAGGACATGAGGGGTTATTTTTCTGCTGTTTTCAAAAGTACTAGGAGATCTAAAGTACTAGGAGATCTTTAACTTCTGCTAGAACAGCTGCTCAAGGACAGAAGAAAAGGGCTGTGTTTTAGTGTTTCATTTGAAGGACAGACCCAACTGAAGGCTGATTCCGAGAACACCATGAACATCCTGCTGTTACCTAACACACACGTGAAGCTCCCTCCCTTCCCCAGCACCCATCGGTCTCCTTGGTTACAGATGGAAGACCAGCAACCTGACAGCTGGCTTTCGAACTCCTTCCATGCTTCACACGGCAGTTTGTGGGGCACCTGCACCCAACTGCTCCTTATGGCACCCAGACATCTGCTACAGACCAGCTCCCAGCAGGATGCGGGAGCTTAGTGGGACATTAAATATCACCCTTCACCCTTGACCTAACATTTCACATTCAGCTTCCAAAAAGACCTAGTCAGATAACCTGGCATTGTCTCACTGAGTTGAGCAGTGATCAGCAATAGTCAAAATGGTAGTGAGACTGCATCACAACGACCCATCTAACACAGTGAAATCAATTCCTCCAGAGTAGGACAACTAAGTTGCGTATGAGTGGAACAGGGGCCTTGAGGCTTTGTGGAGAACAGGAGGAGGTCACGGTGGTGCAGAGGCGACAGGTATGTGGGCAAGTACAAGAGGATTTGCTGGCTAAACCAATAGATCGTGTGTGAATTGTGTATGAATCACAGCTCTAAAACAAAGCATTCGCCTCTCTCTTGGTTTCGGTGTAGGCAGGAGCTACAACGATGGCGGCGAACAAGGCGGCAAGAGAAAGTTTAAGTAATTTACTGAACTAGAAGTAGAAAATAAAAGAAACCAGATCACTTCACTGTAGACTTTGAACTACCAAGTAGGCATTCAAAAAACCCTAGAAACCATTTAAAGCAAAAGCAAAATAACGGCTACAACCACACAACTAGTCCAAATAAACAGAAGAGGCAGTATTTAGAAGAAAGAATGCTTAAAAACTTCAGAGGGTAAAGTAAAACAGCTTCTGGCGTCATGTTAATTTCCATGAAAAATCTCCTTAATTCCAGTGGGGAATTTGCTCCTGAAATGTATTTGTAGCTTTTTTTTTTACACACACTGGGCTGGAATCTGAGTAGGAATTATTTCTACTTATGCACAAGGGATGCTTGTTGATGCAGATTCAAATAGACTATGCATGTCTCTTACACTCCTTTACTACCTATTGTATGATGAACACTTATCCAGTACAGTACTCACCAAAGAGAAAAACAGAGGCCTGAACCTTTCCCTCCCCTCACCCTAGAACAATTTTCAGGAAAAAAATACCACTGGCACCTAAATAACTTTTTTTTTAATTTTTATTTTTAGCCAAGGAAAAGTGCAGAGAAAAGGTAAAAAGATTGCCTTTTGTGACAGTTTCAGAATGGCTTACACAAACACCATCAAATTCCTACCAGACAAATGTCAAAATTCACACGAATGTGCACAAAAGCACCCAACCCACCAACATTACTGGTCCTCTTTGTAGTTAGAGAAATAGGATTTTATTCTGTAATAAGTTCATCCACATTTCAAGATATAAAATGGAAAGTACTTGTACAGATACTAACACAAACTGAAGTCTCTGAAGGCTCTGATCTAGTATTCTTCAACAGCACTACCAGATGTTACGTGACTTGTGGTACATACTGTTTTGTACCCAGTACATGACCGCACACAGGCAACTGCTTTAGGTTTTTTTTTCCCAGTACCATTTATCCACAGTGAGCTTCTACCATAGTACTTCTCATCTTGTATTTTCAGTACATCTTTCATCCCAAAATACTTAAAAGCACTTACAAGAGGGGAAATGAAGGCCTTTGAAACTCAAGAATCTGGAAATACTGTTGGCCTTCAAAGAGGTTTAGTTTTGGGAGGAGGAAAAGGACTTACTTTCTCTTCCCCTCCTCAATGAAGACTAACTCTGGAAAACCCGATGTACTGATACTGGCACATTTCAAACCAGGAAGAGCCTGAATGCCTGTGGTGACTGTTAGTCTGAATCCCTTTTCCCTAGACTATGTTCCTTTTCCTGGAACTTGCTTTTGAACAAAGTAATGATCAAACTTCAAATATCTACAATCAGCTTTAAACTTCTCTTAATGAAAGAGAGAATGCTACATTACAATAGAGTATGAAAATTACTTCTTTGGTGGTACAGCCTGAAAGGTGGTAATTTCCATCAGAGCCTCTTGTAACTCCCACTTGGCAAAGCATCTAGTGTCATAGGATGCTCTCAGAAAATTGCAGGCTTTGGGAATGTGCAAAGAATACGTAATGTGTGCCATATAATTATTAAGTACGAGGTCCCTTAGGCACAGGATGCAGTTAATAGCTACTTATTCAAAGATCACTCTGCACATGGGGATCATACCTCAGAAACAGGTATGTCGCACTTGCAAAAGGAATACGCTTCATAGGTAAGAAGACTCAGCTAGTTAGAAATATCAGGTCAGGGGTACTGAAGAAAAAAAAATGAGGAGAGCTTGAGGGATACATCTATAGAAAATCACCCATCTCAGGAAGAAAAGGGAAAAAAATCGTGCAGTACAGATCAAAGAAGGTGGCCAATTATGAATGGCACAGACTGAATTTCCCCCTTTGCTCATAGTGGGTTTCTTTTCAGAAAATAGAAAACAGAACAAGAAGACATCTTGCTCAAGAACTGGGTTTGATTTTTAAGAGGGAAACTGCAAAGTTTATACTGAAATCTAAGTGGCTTTGATTCTGATCCATTGAAGGGGAATACACGCACTTCTAGAAATTAATCCAAGCACCATTTACACCTTCCCAAAGGAATGAACTTTCCACCTGACATTTTTTTTACCATCACAGCATCAAAGATACTTACTCATGCTATGCCCACTGATATAATGCACTGGTTATGTGATCTCATGCTCAGGGACCAGGATTAAATTCACTTCAGACAACAAAGAATTTACAAATTAGACAAATTCAAACTGGTGAAAAATACAAATTATTTGTTTGTTTTCTGGTTCAAATTCTGACCTTTACTGTTCACGACTAGATGACCCAAGGTGACTCTTGATGGGCAGACTTCACTACGTCAGCATACAGTTTTCTAAGAGGCCGATAATCATTACCTTTGCTTTCTGCATTACTTATTCAGAATAAAGAGAGCAAACTTCTTCCCGAAGTTCTTAAAGCCTACACATGCGGAAAAGACATCTGAAGCAGGATGCCCTAAAATGAGGCCTGTATTCTCAACACAGGAATGTGTGATTCCTTTATTTGGATAAGTATGAATTGCAAAATTTAAGTTTTAAGTTGGCTTGTAAACACAGCATTCCCAAGCACAGCATTTTATCCAGAAAGAGTATTCACTACCGAATCACCAACTAATTCTTGAAAGGATGTTCCATGCATGCCTCCTTATCAAAGTAAAGATCTCTGTTTAGTCTGTGAAGTATGACGTGACAGTCTGGTATTTTATGGAAAACAAATGAGCTCCTTCCCTCTGTTTGCTGTCCCTCAATCTGAACACACACAAGTCAAAATGCAAACATTATTAAGAGGATCCCACATATGCTATGCATTTTACAATGTTTGCCTGAGTTCAAGTCTTTGCTTCATTTACACAGTGAAAGTGCTCTTCCACCGTCACCGATTTCATTTTAATGAATGGGAAAGGCCCTTATTTGTGCAGAAGAATGCCCAGGTTGCAATTTCACTGCACCACTACACTGCTGCATGTTATTAGAATGGTCCCATTCCCATCCTCAAGATGTCATGTCCCATGCAACAGATTTCTTGATCCCTACACTTATTCCACAGAACTTTAAGAGTTGTGCTTTCATTAACTACTATTAAACACTTTTAGTAACTGAGTTCTCTAAACAGAGGGACAATAGTAAACATATTAGTAACTATAAGACTCTCTCAATGTGATATGAACACTCACAGGGGAGGGTTTCTTCCTCATCTCAAAGGTCCGGGTAGCACCAAAGCTGAGCGAGGCAATGACAGGATTTTTTCCCAATGATGGTTCATCGTCGCTGTGCCAGTCTACGCTATCCTTCTCATTTCGGTAGAGGTTGCAGAGAAGAGAGTTGAAGGTATAGCCAGTGAACTCTTCAATGCGCTCCTTTAGCATGGTCAGCAGAGGATGCCACTGTAATCAGCACAACAGGAGTAGGGTAAATACAATGAAAGCAGGCCAGCAGCAGATAACATCAAGACACAAGGGGAAAACTATTGAGAAACAAAATATACTGCACTTCAATCACAATAAACTTGAAATCAAACAAACGCCTCTGAACAATTCTGATTATATTTTTAGTAAAGCTGAGGAATGGGCTTTCTGCGAAGTATGCATATGTTGCCTATCGCTCAATACTAAATCATCTCTTAAAACTATGAAACCAGTCTGCCTTTCATAGTAATGTAGCCAGCCACACCAATTAACTGAAAGGTGAGAAAGTAGACAGAGTAAAATCTGCTTGAACTGATCATGGATAAACATTGGGAGTTCTTAACTAGGACAAAAAAGTGTGCAACTTCTCCAATGCATACCTGTTTTTCTAACCTCCTAGCTAGAGGAGTTTAACACGGGGCTCTGATAACATCTGAGTTACTTGGCCATTGCTGGTGGACATAGTGCATCCAGGAAGTTGCCATCAGTGACTAAATGATACGTTCACAATTGCCTGCAGCTGTTGACACAGAACAAGAGACAAAGGTTGGCCTAACACTGTCACAGCATGGCTGCCTGTCCCTGCTCTGTTAGCACAGCTTGTTGAGCCCAACTCATCACCTCTTGGGGTTTTGACTTCAACATTTTAACTTTCAGTGGTTCGCAAACCAGTGTCACAGGCCCTGAATTTCATCCTTCCCTTTGATAACAACATCTTGGTGAGCCCAGAGCCCACGGCAGCTCTGCACATTCCATTACAACTCAGTCCACTGAATCGTTATTTAATGTTACAAACTTATATCATGACTTTCATCTGTCAGAGTGTTTTTAAGTATTACATAAGTTCTAAAAGAGAAAAAAAAAAAAAAAAAAAGCAATGTAGGCCAGAATTTTTGCCCATTACATAAGCAGAAACACAGATCAAGAGAGGATAAAGGACGGATTCCAAACCTTCCAGTGCCTCACTGGCAGAAGGAGGAACAGACAGCAGGAA